AATAAGAGGTGTAGTTTCTGTGGCATCTCACTTACTTAACTTTTTGTTGTTGGGGTTTTGTAAAATTTTTGTTGTAAAAGTCATAAAACATGTAGAAAATGAGAAAGATGTTTGGAAGGAAAAGCATGGGAAAGTAAATAGGTATGGGACAGTCTGGTAGTAATAACATTAATACCATAAAAATTATGATGCAGAATTGAATCTGTTAAAGGAAAGAAATAATTTAGATAAATAGAACACCATTCCTACTATATCTTTCTTGCTGGCGTTGTTAGACTTACCATTTGCATTATTGTTATGTAAGGCTTGATTGTTCGCAAGATTTTCTGGAGCCTTGGGTTTTTGTTTATTGTAAGTAGATAGTATGTGTACATTACAATGTGCACAATACTGTTTGGTAGAATTGGGAATGACATAGAACCACCTAAAAGAAAAGCAATATGGTAAATTTCAATTTTGTTTGGACTAATTAAAGACTGAAATGTAGCAGTTTTGTTTATCCAACTGACCTCCCTGAAACTTAGTTATTGTCCAAGCTACCCAAAGAGTAGATACATGGTGATAGAGATGCAGAACAGATACCTGTCTATCCTTTTTCCTTAGTACAAATACAATCTGGTAAACAAAGCAAATAAATCATAACTGTGAAGATAATTAATGGCATCACATATACATAAAGTAATACTAACTGTTTCTACAAACTCTATCAATTTCAGCCATGTTGTCAGCCAAGAAAATGTCAGCATCTGTAAATAAGTTATAAAAGTTACTATTTTCTAATGGTTAAATAATGTCATAAAAAGAGGGAAGTACCTTCATGGCTTCAGGGCTGTCTGAGTAATCAACAGGCTGACATAGCCAGTTGTAAGTTGTGAGCCACCCACTGTTTAAACACTTGGAGAGCGTGGGAAGGAAAAGAAACATAAAAGTCATGTGTGTTGGGAGAATACATAAATGCATCAATCCAGACTAATGCTAAATAATAGCGTCCTTGTCGGCGAGACCGCAGCAGACGAGACTTACCCCATGTAGTATAAAGATACAAGCAAACACTTGAAAAATGTTGTAATAAAAAGTGAAAGTATTGAGCTTGTATGCCGGCCGATTTTTCATGTATCTTGGCCCAGCCACCAATACTAGGAATAGATACACGATGGATAGCCATAGCGGATAAGCAGGACTGCTCATTAAGCTCCAATCCTTCAGACGAGGATCTGAGGGGAATGGGAAATAGAGAAAACTTTTGGACCTTGCAGAGCACAAGTAAACGATGGGTAACACTCAAAATTTATATACACATAAATTATTCATGGATTTAATAACTTTTGCTCAATAAATCCGCAGGACATATTCTTGTCATCTTTCCTCTGTAGGGTATACTTGTGAACTTACCCGACAATTCGTCGAAAATCCTGTGGTAAGTTTCTGCCAGACCCATCTTATCGCGGTTGTAAATGTAACCGCTCAGTGTTGTCTAGAGGGAACCCATCTGAATATTCCCTCGATGTTCTTCAAACATCACCGCTCGGCCGTGCGATTCGGACTAGGCAGAGTCAGCCAAAGTTTAGACCCGTGTGCCGCTCCGGGCTTGGACGCAAATGTAAATGAGGATGGTAATTAAGGCTGGGGGGGACACAACAAAGAATTATTTAAGATCCTTCTCTGCAAACATAAAACGCTCGGGCTATGTTTTGTGAACTCCCAGGGAACAGGAAACTTATCAAAATGATGTCAATTGACATCTAGGGAGTCATTTTAACGCCATCTTTACGTCAATCTGACGTGATTTCAAGCTGAAATGGACATCTTCGCTGTGGAATAACGACATCACGTTTTCTGTTCCCTGGCAAGCGCAGCGGTGAACTCCTTCAGCCAATGTCGAGTAGGACGCAACACGCTCGTCAGCGTTAGGCACTATCGTGTGTAGGGGATCGCCAAAGATAAAGTACGTCCCGTTTTTTAGCTTTATTTGGAAAATTCCAAGCGCTTGGCGCCTGCAAGACTCAGGGTAGGCCAGCCCGCAGGGCACGCATGCGCTGTCGCCAAGATGTTGCCTACCCACCAGGCGCCATGAGAACTTGCATTACTTGAACCTTGGCAGTTTCGTAAATAAGGCGAATGGGGCGGGGGGCGTGCTTTTTGTATCGCTCCCTTTACGTAAATCCGCAACACTCGTCTCACCCCAGTGCCGATAAACACCTGGGGTCGTTGGGTTCCGCTCCAGTATGGGGTGTCTCATAGTGCCACCCTTTCTGCCCTCGAGGGGGATCCCCCTCCTGCCGCAGAGGAAACTGCGGAATCGAACCAGTTATTTGGCAACGTGGCAAATTTTATTCGTAACATTGGACCTCGGACCTTCGAGCTAATGAAGTTGGGTCACGGCTTGATTGGGCGCAACGCAAATACGACGCTCTGACGCAAGAACGCATTCAAGCCCTTTCTCTCTATGGATATGGTCAGCAGGTCAGCGAAACTACAATGTTGTCTAAATGCTAACAACATTATTAGCATTTTTCGACGCCTTTTCCTACAGTTGCCGAGCAATACGTCTTATTTTCAGAATTAAAATTGTCAGTGAGAAATGCAATTTCGAATCGTAGTCGAAATAAAGCATTTCCGGCAAAGCAGAAATGCAGAGAAGAATGCGAGGAAGAAGGAAATTGTGCTTGAACATGACTTCCGTTTTCTTGTTTCCTCTTCATTCTTCTGCATTTTAGCCTTGCCGGACTGGTTTATTAGATTTTGTTGACTTAAGAGCTCATCGCAAATCAACTTTCTCTATGTCGATTCGATATTGCATTTCTCACAGGGAGCAATTCTTTTTAGGATACGAGGCAACAATTTTCGTTCACAGAAAAGTTCGATCTTGAACTAATCAAGTCACGATAGTGGAATATTTTAATAACAAACAGAGTGCGTAGAATAGTCAATCGCTTTTTCATTGGCACATTATTGTAACTGTTTCAAAAATAAAGTTTGACTTGCAACGCCATTCAGTGAATGCCATTTTGCCTGCCCATTTGGTGATGCTAACAACGTGACTTCACAAATCGTGACATTTTCGTCATAGAGGACGTATAATTGTGTCAAACATTCTTTTGCAGGGGCGCCTAGGGGCTTGGAGATACGAGTGGGTTAACCGGATGTGGCCGGGCTACGCAAGCCTCTCTCCTAGGGCCGCAGGGGTAAGGGTCGGTCTCGGGGAACGACACGCCACACGGAGCTGAATTGTGATTCGAGGCGAGGTGGATTAATCCACATTGATTCCGAGGTTAGTCCGCTTCGCACTGTTTCTTGGCCCGGGAAAGTTAGTGATGTGGACTTCCCCACCCACCACGCTCATGTCCCATGAGATCTGTACCCATTGGCGCGCTCCGTGCTGAGACTTGGAAGCACCTTAAAACACATGTCAGCAGGAATGTGAGATCTTTAGCGATTGGGACAACCCTTGAAAGACAGTTACGGCACACAGCTCTTGACTGTGCTGAGCATTTTTTTCAGTATACTCTCACATCTGTAAACTACTATCGTCATTGACAGAAATGTTTGACGAATTACATTATTTCACGTTGGTGTCTCCGTCTCAATATGCGTCGTCTGCTGGTGCACCAACCACCGACAGTCAATTGTTTGTGGAGAGAAACAACAATGGCGGCGCTAAGAACTCGTGTTGGGTGTCTTCTTCAGGGCTTTTTCTCATCTTCTAAAATACCACGAAGTTCTTTCGATATTCGGTATGACAAGATTCCAAACTGTGCATATATTCCCTGTTATAAGTTCTTATCTTTACGCTGTGGTTTATTCTGGTTTTCGCCGTTGTCGGTGTATTGTAGGTTAGGTTGTCCCTTTACGTTTTGTCTAAAGTTTCATTCCCCCCATACTATTATCATTTTACAGATTTGACGGATGTGTGACACAAGTTAGATTCAAAGGAGGGCCTGCAACACCTCGGTTTCGCCATCCTGTATGGCACGTCAGGAAGGAGAGAGCTGTAAGTATTATATTTTGAAAGTTTGAGCCCTACTAACTTCATTTTACAAAATAATTCAGTACCCTTCACTTTTCATGAAAGCATTATCCAGAAAATTTGACAGCTGAGAACAAGGAATTTATCCGAGAAACTATTTCTCAAGACTTTGGCCCACCTATTGTTGCTCATGGAGTGAAAACATATGACTCACCTCTCAAAAATATAGAAAAAATAGAACCAGTCCAGTGGTTTCCAGGAATAAGGAGGACGTCTACCATAGCCAAGAAGATTGGCATTCAGCCACTGTGGCTTAATGATGGAACCCGTGTTATGACAACACTTTTACAAGTATGTTCAATTAATTCAGGTTACAAATTCTGGCACTTAATATCTTTTAATTAAATTATTCAAGTACTTTTTAATCTTTCCCCTGCCCTTTACTTCCTTACTCTCTTCACTCCTTTTGAACAGATTGTGGATAATCATGTTATAAAGTACAATCCACCAGATCAAGTGATTCCACTGAGACGACGTCATAAAGTTATACCCAAAAAAGTTTTAGGGAAGTTTGGTGCCCTAATTGTTGGAGCAGAGAGCGCTGATCCACAAGAGGTGAGTTGTAATGCTCCATATTTGAATCAAATATAGTTTTTGTTTCTCTTCTTTAATCTTTTTAAATTTTCTGTTCAGTTCACTAAAAATTACTGTGGACTGTTTAGAGAGTCTGGCCTTCCCCCCAAACGAAAGTTAGCTAGATTTTTGATCTCTCCTGAAGCTGTTCTTCCCTCTGGTACACCACTTAATGCAATGCATTACAGAGTTGGTGATTATATTGATGCAACAGGATTTACGTGAGCTAAGCTTTATTTTTAAATGTCCTGTGTCTAATGTGATACCTAATCTACTATTTTCATTGATCTTGTATACTTTGGTTACCCAATTCAGGATACAGAGAGGTTTCCAAGGTGTTATGAAAAGATGGGGCTTCAAAGGCCAACCTGCAACTCATGGTCAGACTAAGACACATCGTCGCCCTGGTTCCATTGGTGGAGGAGCAGGGCATAGAGTGTGGCCTGGCAAGAAAATGCCAGGACACATGGGTGGTAGACACAGAACATTAAGAGCCTTGAAGGTATGAATTTAGGCTGCCAAAATTGCGCACTATTTTGTGGTGGATTTTTTTTTTTAACCCTTTTTCCCTTTTTCTCTCAGATATTAAGGATAAATACAGAATATAATGTATTGTATGTTACTGGACAAAATATCCCTGGTCAGATCAACTCCTACATCTATGTTCATGACAGTTTAAGTCACCACAGGTAAACATATTTAACCTTAAGTACTATGATCAATAAATTATTACTTTCTTTTTTGCTTTAATATGGTATTATGATCTTTTTGTTAAAGGTGGGTGAAGGATGCAAAGGACGCATGGCCACTTCCAACCTATATACCTACAGAGACTGAAGTTCCAGAAAACCTATATGCATCTGATGTGCATCCCTTTGATGCTCCTTCTATTACCTATGAAATTGTTGACACACCTGTTGTGAGAACTGGTGCCAAAATAGCAAAGGCAAAAGGATCCAAAAAGTAGATATTTTTATATGAAAACCAGTGATTTCATTGTAAAAACTTTCGGAAAATTAAAAATTTAAGGCTTGTTAACATGGTGGCTATTTTGTACCTTTGTGGAAGGAGATTCATTCATAGATTTGCATTGAAATAGGTTAGGATCTGATATCTTAAATTTTTCATTCTGGAAGTGGTAATGTTTGTAAAACAATTACATGCCCTGATGGATCTAGTCTTCTTGAAGCCACTCCGTCATTTGCTGTGGGTAATCTGGCTAAAAATAGCTCTGACCAACCAGTTTACTCAAAACAAATGTCGGGGCGGCTTCAGCTTCATCAAGACTTTGGGCTACAACTGACATTTTATGGTTGATGTTTGCATTAGTTATTTTCTATTGAATAGCATCCAGAAATTGGGTTGGTTTGAAGGGAAGTAATTGAACCAAGTTTAATGGTGCACGAACAAGACCTCTTATATTTGACAAGTGTTACAGAATCAAAGATATCAGAACTTCAAATGTAATAACATTTATAAAAATAAGTGCACAGCTGGTATCTGGAATGTGACATCCATTTGAATGCAAAATGCTTTGCAAATGCACATGATTGTCAGATGGCGACTAGAGATCTGATCTATTGGACAGATTTATTCATCACATGGAATATAAATACTAGAATAGGTGTACAGGTAACTTTAAGTTCAACAAATGCACAGTAAAATAACGGGAGTTTGGCAATCAATAAAAAGGCAATTAATAAAAAGGTAAGTGATAAAAGGGCAAGGGCAATAATTATTTGGTAACTTCATGCATAGCTTTGGCCAAGTATCCAACATTTTTGCTTGTAACTCCGGCCATAGAGATACGTCCATCCTTAGTAAGGTAAATGCTGAACTCCTTGGTGATGCGTTCAACCTAAAAATGAGTTAAATAATGTAATTAAGTCTAAAGTTCAAGTATAATAATAAAATTTTTGATTCAGATAGATCTTTTACCTGTTGGGCATTCATGCCAGTGTAGCAGAACATGCCAATTTGATCAGTAATGTGAGCCCAGTTGCGTGAGGATCCTTCCTTCTTCAAACCATCACGAAGTTGAGTTCTCATAGAAATAATTCTATCAGCCATTCCCTTGACATCCTTCAACCTACATTAAAAATTCGAATTAGTTTCAGTTACAATTAAAAGTACACTGGCTCATGATTTGCAGTATACTTGCCACATTGATTTTAAGGACGCATCACCAAGGATCTCTGAAACAATCCTCGCGCCATGAACAGGGGGGTTTGAGTACATTGGTCGCACAAGAATTTTCAGTTGAGACATGACAGTGTCAGCTTCTTGCTTGCTACTAGTTACGAGTGAGAAGGCCCCAGCTCTTTCACCTGGAAGTTAGAAGTGAAGTAAGATCGATTCAGGTGAGGTTTAAATGCAAAATGATCAACTTGATTCCTACCATAAAGTCCCATGTTCTTGGCATAAGATTGTGCCAGAGCAATCTGATGGCCTTCATTGACAAAGAGACGGACTGCAAATGCATCTTTAGCAACATCACCTACAAATGAAAACAAAAATATTAAATAAACTTGCTAGGATAAACTTGATAAGTACCCACTAAATGTGAAATTGTACCGGAGGCAAAGCCTTGGTATGCCATGTCGAAGAATGGGAATAACTTCTTGTCCTTGATAAGTTTTGAAAGCTCTTTCCACTGCTCTGGCTTCGGGTCAACTCCAGTTGGGTTGTGTGCACAAGCATGAAGAAGAATAATAGATTTCTCAGGTATTTTCTAGAAATAAAATGGGATTCTATTTAATGAATTCATTTTAAGTAGATATTCATACTTCCAATTGAAGGACGAAGCACACTTACGGAAATATCTTCCAGAGCACCATTAAAATTGAGTCCACAGGTAGCGGGATCATAGTAGCGATACTGTTTGACATTCAATCCAGAGTCCTTAAAAATGGGTGTATGGTTACCCCAAGACGGAGTTGGCAAATACAGGTCCTTTCCAGGGAGGAAGCGTTGAAGGAAAGCCCCACCAATGCGGAGAGAGCCAGTACCAGAAATACCCTGTACTGTTGCATTCTGAAAACAGCAAACAGTTACTCAAACATTCTTTTAAACAGCTGTTATCCAGTATAAGTTGAATATAACAAACATACGAGAGAATTTTTGACATGCTCATTATCTTCACCCAGTGCAAGTGTGATGCTGTGCTTGCAGAACTCGGCAGGGCCTGAGATAGGGGCGTACTCCTTGTCCTGGTTCTTCTTGCGCATACGATCTTCAGCCTGTCAACAATAATTCAAGCAATTAGTGAGGAAACAATTTGGTTGACATCAAAGTAGACATTAAACTTACCTCAATAACACTGGGCAGCACAAATGGCTTGCCATTGTCATCTCGGTAAGCACCCACACCCAGATTGATTTTGTTGGAATTCTGGTCACGTTTGTACGCCTCTGTTACTCCAAGGATTGGGTCTGGGGGACCCATCTGGACGTGGGACCACCATGAGCTGACAGGAAGAGGGTAATTAGTTTCATCTTACACAGTAATCTGCCATAGACTCGACAGGCCATCCGCTCAATGCGTCTAGCACTCGCCACGATGGTAGAGCAATTGCTGAATCCAGAGACCAAGGTCATGGCGGCAACTCTTGGTCATCCCTTTTAGCGGGAAAAAGGTCTTGGCCTGCTGGAGTTCACGACCTTGACCCGACCTTGGTTAGGAGAGCCCTCGATAAGGACCTTACATCAGGACGTGTCAGGCGTCCTTGACCTTCGATAACGCAGGACGTCGCCGGCGCGGCATAGGCGACCGGCCGGTGCGCGACGTGACGCCTACCTCCACGCCACGATTGCGTAAAATCGCACTCACTTGTGCCTCGACGGTGCGGCAGCTGACAGCGACGCCGGCGCGGCGGACTTGAGGAGGGAGTTCGTGGTGATCCCCACGATCTTGGTGGCGGCTGCCATGGCTCAGCGTGCAACTGGACCGGAGGAAGAGGACGGGGCAGCGCGACAGTCGCTGGTCAGCAAACGAGGAACGACTGAGATGAAATGGAAGGAGAGCCCACACTGAGTTGGCAGACACTGTGCGGCAGCTGAGCTGCGTCGTGTGGGTGCCGCGGGGGAGGGGGGGACAGGGGCGGAGCCAGCTGATGCTGAGGCGCGAGCAGAGTGGAGGGGGCGACGGGGGACGAGGTTTTTATCTCGCCGGTAAATCAAAGTTGGAAAACAAATAACACACTCCTAACGACCTCACTCGTTTCAACACAGCCGAGCGTAGCGATAAGCAGGCTTGCTCGAGGGGTTGTCTTATTTGTCGATGATTGCGGCCGGCTGACGCACATCTATGCGCGCGAGACTGTCCGGAGGGCCAGAGGAACTTCCCTGACTTCTCACAGACTAAATTCGATTTGACTAGACCACACGGCTGGCGCGTGTACGGATGGGTATATTTAGCAGTATCTCTAGCACAACCTTTGACCTTTTCGTGAAAGGGGAAGAGCATTTTACGGGGAATGCGTTTAGTGAAAGAAGAGAGGAGGGGGGTAAGGAAGGGTCTGAAGGAAAAGGGGCGATATGAATGTGAATGAGTCGAATCATTATGTTCATCTTATGAAAAAAAAACAGAAACCGAAAACACATACTTTCTAGACGAGATCGGTTTAAACTAAAATAAGTAACAACAAATTTTAAAATTTTTGATCTTTTTGTTTTAGACGATTCGAGTGGTTTCAACTGCTTACACGACCTGCTGTACCACAAGTGAATACTATCAAAGTTGGCAACACTTTAGCCTTCCGAATCCGAATCCGAAGTTTCCACCCGTTGTTCGTCGTCGTTCTGTCTGCTGCTGCTGCAGTCGTTACTGTTGTTGTTCATGTGCTGTTTGAGAGATTAAACCTTTATCCCTTGTTTATTTAATAAATTTATGGATATTCTGCAAATTTTATTGATGATTACTGATAGATAAAGTGAAGTCCTTTCTCTCTCTGTACTTGTGCGAAAATCACATCGTGATGTGGACTTCTCAGACTGTGCATAACCTTCTTTTTATGAGTAAACAAATATATAAACGACACTCGTTCTACTGTGCTGAGTGGAATGCATTGTGTAGTCATAGCAAGTGACAGAAAAACCTTGCCATTTGTTTTCTAATTACGATCAAGATGATTATAATACCAACAGGTTCAGGCTTATCATCGCGTATGTGCTCCTGGACTCCTACCCGTTTTCTGCTATGCATTTAACAATGTCAACAGCTTGCTAATTGTATTACTCTTATACACAGGCCTTGATGTACCTTCTGACCAAAATTTAGATGAGCAAAGTGAAGATGACATTCACATTTGTGGGGCGTGCAAAAGACACTTCAATGACATATTTCTGTTCATGCGCCATAAGAGTGAAAACAACTGCAGTTCTAGACTTAATAAGAAGTCACCTGAAACAGTTCCTTCTAGAACATGCTCTGAGGGAGGCAATCCAATCTTCTCTTCACTTGAAGGTGCTGTATGATTGCTAACTTAATAATATTTTCACTTTCTTAGCCACTGGTTTGATGTTTGTTTTCTCTTTGGTTCTGCTTTTAGGATCTAGCAACCGTTCAAAACGGCCTGAAACAAAGTATACTAGAGTTGCTCTAGTCAATACAGAAGCCTTTACTATTCAAAAAGAGGATAGTTTTAAAAAGTCTGCTACAAACTGTGAAGAGAGAGACGTGACAACACATCCTCCTCATCTACTTTTGGCTGATCTCGCTAGCCAAAGGCTGGACCTTTTAAATCAGGATGAGAACTCAACAGACAAGACTGGAGGAAGTGATATTACTTTGGAAGATGATGTATGTTTCTTTTTGGTGCCCTGTAATTTTCTGTTGCTTTTTTCCGCATTATTTCATCTCATTCATTTTTTTTTAAAAAAAACATAGTGGGATTCTTCATGGTCTGCGGCCAAAGTTTTGGGCACATTTAGTCTCTCTAATTCCCTAAGGAAGCTCCAGAGTCAGAATCTCTCTCCATTAAAAGAGGTCTGTGCCAAATCAATGGCTCCTAAAGATGGCAATGTGCAGGAGCAGCCAGAACATCAGGTTATTGATCAGGAGCAGCTCCAGAGTTGTGAAGAAAGTGCTGTGCTCTCAATTCCTAATGAGAAGCACATTGACAGTCAGATCCACTCTGTAAGTATTTTGGACTTTTTTTTTTAAATTTCATAGTTGTATTAGCTTTAGCAGACTGATATATTAAAATATTAAATTACATTTCATTTTATTTTTTTTGTGTAGGTTGAAGACTGCCATGCTCAGGAGCGCTTCATCGGCCCTCATGGTGGATTGCTTGATGTGGAAGACGTTGAGGTTGCCACATTATTAGCTAATCATCTCACTAATGAGCCCAGTCTTCAAATATATCCAAATGCTTCTGGTAAGTTCTATTATTCATGCACACAACAGCATGTTTTCTCATTAGTATTTGTAAACCCAACAAAATCAACCATACTAAGTATCTTACCTTACATGAAATAAATTAATTCTGGCGCTATGTTTTACAGAGTCGTTCTTATCATATAGTAATTTGCAAAATCAGCTTGTTATTCAAGACACTACAGAAACTTTGAGCTTTGAAAATGATGATAATAGAGACAAAGGTACTGACCAAAATTCAACAGATGAGAAAAGTGGTGGGAAAAAGTCAAAAGAAATAAGAAATGAGCCTCGCTGTAAAAATGCAAAACCTACAAAGAAACGCAAACTTCATTCTTGTCCCAATGATGGATGCACTTTCCAGGGAACCTCAGTGAGAGACTTAACTCGGCATATAAGGAAACATACAGGTACTCCTTGTTATTTTCACTTTATGATGAATTAGTGATGTCCTTAACTTTGCTGTTGATAACACTTTTCTTCACTTATTAGGAGAGAGGCCTTTCAAATGTACTGAATGTGAAAAGACGTTTACCCGAAGAGATAAACTGTCTGCACATCTTCGTTGTCATGGGAATGTTGAGAAGACATTTCAATGCAATGTCTGCGAGTTTGCTTGTAGGGAGCACAGTAGCCTGATCATACACATGCGCCGCCATACCGATGAAAGGCCTTACAAGTATGTTCTTTGGTGCACTTGACCTAAAAATAACCCACTGAGTTTTTCACTTTTTTCTAACATTATTTTACACCCCAGGTGCCAAATATGTGATCATAAAGCTCGCACAAAATCTCATCTTAATGTCCATCTCAGAAAACATACTGGTAAGTTTTTTTACCGAAACATTTTGAAATGTTGTTCTATGCTTGTTTCTAGTTTTTTTTTCTTTTTCTGGGTCTAATTTTAGGCGACCATCCATACAAATGCAAGAAGTGTGGTAAGGCATTCACTACTAGTTCTGATCTGACCCGCCACGCAAGACTTCACACTGGTGATAAACCATTTGCTTGCCCACACTGTAGCTATGCTGCTGCCCTGAAAAGTAAGCCTTTCTTTTAAATCCTCTGAAAATGATTACCTTTGACCTAGTAATGATTACACTTAATTTTGTATCTTTTATATCTAGCAAGCCTTAAAACTCATATTCAACAAAATCATATGCCTGGAGTTTCTCTCATCTGCCCCAAATGCAACATGCAATGTCAGTCTCGCAAAGACTTGCGGATACATATAAAATCACATAAAGGTAAAATACAATACTGTACTTGTTTCTTGTCCCTGATTCTCTCTGTCTCTGTCTTATGCTTTACAAACTACTACAGTATCTTCTAATTTTTCTTTTCATTTTCTTTTCAGATGATTCCAAGCATTGTAGTAAATGTGATTTCATTGGCTCAACCAACACTGCATTGAAAAAACATTTCAAGATACATACACCAGAGAAGCTTAAGCAAAGTCCACTCCTCAATGGCAAAAGAGGTTATTACTTATTATGAAATTTACATGTGTTGCATATAACTTTCTTTTAAGTGCTTTGTCCATCTTGCTAATCATTTAATATTTTAACAGGTATTCTTAAGGGTCATCAGAAGAAGAAATACTCTCCAAAGAAGCAGAAGAAACCTTTGGAAGTTTTCTCTGATGTGTACAGCTGCACATATTGTAGCGCATCGTTCTGGAGGGAGGATGCTCTTGAAGAACACATCCGCCAGCATCAGCTTGACGAGCTAGTTGGGGCTCGCGCTCCTGATCCTGTGCTTGCTGATAGTGCTGACAGCAGGGACAGTAATGACAGCACAAGTATGGATGTGACTTGTGGTCTGGCAGGATTAGCAGCGCTTGCTTCTTACCACAGTGCTTCAGAACATGTGTCGTCAGAACAGCAGCCTACATTTCTTTATCGATATATTTCTGGATCACAAAGTAATGAAAGCAATGATAATCTGCGTAATGCTGAAATTCTGGCTTCTCTTAATCAAAGCTCTGGAGCTTTGCCTCAATATGTAGCAATTCAAACAGAGCAGAATACTTTAGTTGATGCTTTGAACTGTATACAGTATGTCTTACCCAGCCCCTTAGGGACCCTTGACGACAATGACAATGCAACATCTTTGCTATGCTAGTCAAATGTCGTGGAAAGACGTGCTAGAATTTTGTTATTGTTTAAGGACTTTTAACAGTTTTATGTTCTTCAAAAACTAGTCAGACCTATTTATTACATAGACTTTTCAAGTACAGATTTTTTTCTGTCCTGAACGATATTTGCTAATGATCAAGGTCAAGGTGCACCCTGTAATCTGTTAAAAGTTCTAAATTTCTGTGATATGTTTGGTGTGTGGTGTGTCAGTGGTTCTGTTATAACTTATATTCATGTTGACAATTTTGTATCATATGTTTAAAACATTCAGTGCGGCGCGGCCACAGCATAGTCACACTTCGTCGGTTTTCCAGTCCCGAGGATGCAGTGCCGCACTGGTTGTGTTCGCATTTGTCTGTGAAATTTTTTTTCAACTACCTATGGCATTTAATCTTGCTATATAAATGTAGTAGATTAATTATATTTTTTATGTGGTATATTTGTTTGTGAAAGTACTGTACTTGGGTTTTTCTGCGATGGCCAAAGCTGAATTTGGCTTGTCACAAACGACTGATTATGTTATTATTTTCATGTAAAGTTCTTGTGAGACCACAGGCTGCGCACTTTTTGGTATTAGATTCATACATCTAACACTGATTCTAATAAAGATAATTTAGATATGCATTCAATCTTGTATTTTTGAGATTTTCTCTTTGGGGTCTGTGAACAAGTTGGGATTGTCTCAGTACAGCGCTGCATGTCTGCAGAGAACTATCGGGCCCGACCTCGGCACCACACCGGCGCCGCCCTGCCTCACCCCGCAACGCCTGGCCCCACACAACCCGCCCCGCCTCGGCCCGCCCCGCTGCCGGCGGGAGCCTCTGAGTTGTATATACAGCACAGCACAGCTCGATTGATCGGTGATAGGGGAGGGTGGGTCGGTCCGTGGCCCGAGACTCGACGCCGGGGGCGTGTAGTGGCGACCAGGGAAGCTTGCAGCTCAGCTTCCGAGAGGAGGGAGGCCGGACGTGCGCCCGAGATGGGCTGTTAGACAGCCGCCTCGAAAATCACATTTCGCATCACCACATCTTTCGAGGCCCACGATGCCCCCCCCCCC